AAGACATGGGCTATTTATAATTGCAGAAAACTGTTTGGAAGAATTAAAAGTGTCCAAGAAAATGTCCAAAATCTTTACACACACTGACCCAGAGACTGTTTAGCTGCATGTCAAACACTCAGCGGGCACAAGACTTCAACATGAGGTCAGATGGATGTTGTACCCTAACAACAGATTGAAATTAAATTAGGGTTGATGTTAGAACTCAACGTCGATGTCCAACCTAAAACCAATCAAATATCCACGTCTGATGATGTTACAGCTTGCCATTGTATGGATGTTACCACTATGACGTCTGTCGGCTGTTGGATTTTGGTTGCCATAACTGATGAATAAATAAATGTCAGTATTTGACATCAATATGATATTGAGTTAAGATAATTAATAATTAAGTTGGCTCAACGTTGGATTTTGGTCACTTTCTGTCATGACTGTGTTTGTCCACCAGATGCCACTGTAGTTCACCCGCAACCCCCAGAGAACTACAGTGGCTTAAGAACTACATTTCCATACATTCTTTCGCGCACACACCCGGTCTGTCATCTACACTGATTAACAACCACAGCTGTCTCCGTTCTCCGTTGATTACCTGGACTATATATTCAGTAATTTATCCTCTGTTAGTTGGTCGTTGTCGTCTTTATCGGTATGTCTGTTCCTGATTCCAGTCTGTATCCTGTTATTCTTGTTAAAGTCTAGTTCGAGTTTTATCTGTTTGAGTTCCTGGTTTGATTGTTACTTTGTACTTTGGGTTTTTGTATTTTTGTCACTTTCTCTGCACAAGACTATATTAAACTTCACTTGGATTCTACTCCCGTTTTTGTTCCTGTTTCAATCCTGAAACGTGACACTTTCTAACAACCTAAAATCAACAAAATATCAATGTAATTTGACGTCATTATTGGACATCAAAATAATGTTGTCCCTAGACACTGGCTGAACATTGAATTTTGGTCAATCTTCACATTGAATTGAATTTTGGTAAATCACATCTTCCCAACCTAAATCTGACCTAATATTAATGTCCTATGACGTTGTGTGCTTGCTTGACAGACTCGATGCAGAATGTTTCGTTTACACACATCCACAAATGAAATGTAAATACATCAGCTTTTCACAGTGTAATTCTACTTTTGAGGTCTTTTAAAAGTTCTTTTTACTCATACTTTGAATAATATTTACAACAGATACTTTTATTCTACCTGCACTACATTTTACTGCCCCAGTAACAAGGGTTTGTACCTTTTTTTTTTACCTTTTTTTTTTCTGAGAGTGTAGGCAAGTAATGGTACTTTTACATGAGTATGATTTTTTTTTTTCAGTACTTTTTCCACCACTGCTCCTAACCATCTTCATATCAGTCTGTCTGCTTGCCACCAATAAGCTCTGGTTTGGCGCAAAAGGTTGCCGTCGTATCAACCCTGTGGATGCAGCACACTGGTGGTGGTTGAGGAGATTCCCCCCAAATCTGTAAAGTGCCAAGAAAAGCACTATATTAATGTAAAAAATTATTATTAGAGTAACTACCCCTCATTGGGAATGAGCAACTCATATTAAAATATACAGTTGAGAAAAATTTAAATCAGCCACTAAATCACAAAGTTACGAATTGCAACATTTGCATGAGCAGTATTTAGTCCAAATTAGACTATCATTTTGCAATTTAAAGCAAAGACAGAATGGTCTGACTTTAGTTTCGTCCACACTATGAGCAATTTAAATCGGCAAAACAAGCGACCGTTCATTTTCAATGGAGAGTGAGCAACTTCCGACAACCTCTGTCTACATGAGCGACAGTGACCGTTGGTGACAAGGTGGGCATGTAGAATGATCAAAGTTGAGAATCCTTCAATTTTGTGCAAATAAAGGGCGACTTTCTTAAGCGACAGCCAATAGGAGCAATAGTAGAGCTCACATGAACCCTCTCTCATCTCCAGCAGAGGCTGGTTGTATTCTCCCTGCTGTAGACTTACACAGTCCTGCGTTTGCAGCAGATAAATAGCCGCAATGACAGAACACATTTTTATCATGATCATCTTTGTAATTAAGCATGTTATGCACTGATTCCATTTATATTTAGTATTTCTCTGAACAACATTTTCTTTCAGCAGCACGTAAACTCATCTACTCTCTGTGAATATCACAAACCTAATCAACCTCAAGGTGAAAATGCCCACAATGGTTTCAATCGCCACCCAAAGCGACAGACAGCAAGAAATTTGTGCCTCATTCACACAAGCTGCAACTTTGTAGCCGTCTGTCGCTCTGGGTGACGACCTGCTGCAAACGCAGGTCTGTTTAGCTCTACAGCGCGCAGAATACAACCGGCCTGAGTGAGCTGAGAGAGGATCATGTGAGCTCTACTGGTGCTCCTATTGGCTGTCACTCCAGAACGTCGCTCTTTATTTGCATATAGTTGAAGGATTCTCAACTTTGTCTCAATGAACGGCATGACCATCTGGTCACAGCAGTAGCTCGCATAGATGGAGGTCAGTGGAAGTTTCTCGCTTTCTATTGAAATGAACTGTCGCTTGTCGCTTTGCCACTCTGAGTTGCTCATAGTGTGAATGAGGCTTAACATTTTTTGGGCTGCTACTGTGTGTATAACTCTTTTTGGTGCTTATGAACAACGCCATAAACTTCATCTTACTGTACCACTGAAATATGCATATTCAAGCAAAAAATATAGTACAGAAACAGTAACATTAGCAGATTACTGTTAATGTGCTCTATAGGAAACTAGAACATGGCAGAATTATTGGTAGATCACAAGATCAGAACACACTGAAGTCTACTCTGAGGCAAACATAACATTTTGACACAAAATTCCCTGCACTATGACCTCGATCTTGAGCATTGTAAGTGAAGAGGAGCTGTTGAAGCCAACAGTGTCAACCCTCATAAAGTCTGAGAAAAAGAAAAGGTAAGCATTTGGAAAACCAAGGCTAATGCCAACCATTGACAGCTCTTAAGTAGACATTATTTTGCACAGATTACATATTATAAAGATTATTTATTTTACAGTGGATACTTTTGTTAAGCAGTTTGTGCTTTTTTTTTTTACAGATGCAACTCCAGATGTTGAGATGTAATTGCTGTGTGAAGTCTGCCGATGAGAAATTCCAAGTAGGTCTTTCATGAATAAGAGTTGATAAAAGAGAGGAATGTGATTTGGAGGATTCTAAAATTAAAACACAAAATACAATCCTTTTTCTCTACGGTAAATGTTGATCAATGCAACCACAAGTAATCAATAATAATAATAATAATGCATTTTATTTAAAGGCGCCTTTCATGACACTCAAGGTCACCGTACAGGACAGCTAAAACAATCAATTCAAATAAAAACACAATAAACAATACAATACAATAAAAGCTTTAAAAATGCAATCGGGTCAAAAAGAATAGGCTGTTCTAAACAGATGTGTTTTGAGTCTAGACTTAAATTGTGAAAGAGTGTCTAAATTACGGAGATCAGGAGGGAGTGAATTCCAAAGCTGAGGAGCAGAGTGGCTGAAGGATCTGCTCCCCATTGTGACAAGGCGGACAGAGGGAACAGTGTGGTGAATGGAAGAAGAAGATCTGAGTGTTCGAGAAGGTGTGGTGATATGAACAAGATTAGTAAGGTATGGAGGAGCAAGATTGTGGATGGCTTTAAAGGTGAGAAGAAGTATTTTATAGTTAATTCTAAAAGGGATGGGAAGCCAGTGAAGCTGTTGTAGAATGGGTGTGATGTGACAGAGGGGGTTTTTGTGATAATACGGGCTGCAGCGTTTTGTACCAGTTGTAATTTATGAAGAGTTTTTTTAGGGAGGCCAAACAGAAGGGAATTACAGTAATCTAAATGGGATGTGACTAAACTATGAACAAGAATGGCAGCTGAATGAGGTGTGAGGGAAGGACGTAAACGATTTATATTTCGAAGGTGGAAATAGGCGGACCGGGTGACATTATTAACATGTGCAGTGAATGAAAGGGTGCCGTCGAAGATGACCCCCAGACTCTTAACCTGAGGGGAGGGGGTAATGACAGAATCATCAGTGGAAATGGAAAAACTATGTGATTTATTTAAAGTGGATCGTGTACCTATAAGTAAAAGTTCAGTTTTATTGTCATTTAATTTCAAAAAGTTTGTGGTGAACCAGGATTTGATGTCTGCAAAGCAATTAGTAAGGGATGAAGGTGGGAGTTTGTTGTTGGGTTTGATTGATAGGTAGAGCTGGGTGTCATCTGCGTAGCAATGAAATTGGAATTGGTGTTTGCGGAAAATATAACCAAGTGGAAGAAGATAGATGATAAATAGCAGTGGACCCAAAACTGAACCCTGGGGCACACCTGTAGTGACGGGGACTGATGATGATGTGAAAGACTTTAATTGAATGAACTTTTAATTGAATTCAAGTTTATCTATTCACAGTCATCTGACCACCAGAGTTGATGTCCGCAGGGATTTAAAACTATGTGCACACTTTTAGGGGGTGATTTTAGGGATTGTGGCTTTGTATGTACTGCTTCTCTTTTCTTGAATGCTCATATGGAGCAGTTTTTTCATAATTTTGCAGCTATTTTTATTTATTCTATCCTGCTGAAGAATTTGCCCTCTCCTGTGTTTTGTAATGTAATGGGCAGCACAAATGTCTTGATACCTCAGGCTGTTGATTTCGCCATCCACTCTGCAGATCTCTTGCACGCCCTATACTAAATGTAACCCCAAACCATGATTTTTCCTTCATCAAACTTGACTGATTTCTGTGAAAATCTTGGGTCCATGCAGGTTCCAGTAGGTCTTCTGCAGTATTTGTGATGATTGGGATGAAGTTCAACAGATGATTCATCAGAAAAATCTACCTTCTGCCACTTTTCCAAATGATCAACTAGAAGCCAGACTAGAAAGCCAGAGATCCACCCAACAAAATATGTAAAATAGAATTAAAACAGTAATATTGTAATAATAAGTACAAAATCAGAATTGAAACATAAATAATACAGTCTCTCATATTTGACCAAAATTGCACAGTTTTTTTTACTGGCACCATTTATTTTAGCTGTGGTTTATTCCAGACTAATAATGTCCAGTAGATAGAGCCTCCAGGATAGATCAGTTGGAACAGATAGACCAGACATGGTTTCAGGATTGTTTTTTTTTTTTTTGCAGCAGCAGCAGCAGTCAGAACAACTGACAAAATCCTTCTTTGATTGATGAGTAAGGAGAGCGATGAATTGTCCAGCATAAGAAAAAGCAATGGGTCGCATTGGATCTGAGTTTCCATTAGATCTGATAGAAAGTCTCGTATTTTAGTCCAGAATAATGCAATTTGGGGACATTCCCAGAACATATGTATGTAAGTACCTTGTGTAGAGTTGTTACATAAGTGACAAAAGGGGTCTGATTATTTTTTTCATTTTAAATAACAAGTAGAGGGTGGCATAAGCTTTGAAAATTAATTTATAATGATCATTTGGTGAGCTGGATGACAACAAGATTTTTGTCAGGTAGTGTATTTATATAGGCGAGCACATTTAAAAAACTATATATTTTTTATTCTGACAAAGACGGAAGGGCTCATGGCATTGGAACAACACTCGAGTGTGTAAATAATGACTGAAATACGTTTTTTTAGATGAATAATTTATTTCCCTTAAGTGGGTGAGTCAAAGTGAGTGCCAAAAAAGTCAAATGTTTTACAAAGAGCAGATAAAGGACTTCTCTCACGCTGCCCTGATGGACCTCCGCTTGTGCTGTTGAGCCACAAACTGAGCCTTCAGTATAGCCAGCTGAGTGTCTTCCTCACTGATGCCCAGGTGCCACACAGCCCTGACTGTGTCCCCAACATGGGGGAACATCAGAACAGGTACCCCTTGACCCAAAGCCTTCACTTCTTCCTCATCTACGCCTGCCATCCTCTCACAGAACTCCACCGGGCTCATCTGACCCTCCCTCAGAGAAAACCTCACGATGTTGGTTTGAACGGTGTTCAGATCAACCTGATACAGTGCAGGGTCACTCTCTAACAGTGCTGTAAGAGAGAAGATGAGAGACGTTACATAAGACTCTTGAAATATTTAAATTGGACTCGTTTCATAGAGACATTTTAAATGATGATGACATTATAAATGGCTCTTTTCAGTGCGCCGAAGGGACTGAAAACATCAAATAGGAGTTTAACAATATATTGTGACATTACACACTCACCACCACTTTACTATATATTGGCTACACCTTATTAGCAGGAGGTTGAACCCACTTTAGCCATCTTTATTTTTTTGAACAATGTGCAGGAATTTTTTAGCAGATTTGTTGGCTCCACATCCATGAGGCAAATCACCCATTACACCAGATCTATAAAGTGCTCTAATGGATTGAGATTTGGCGACTATTGAGGCCAATTTGAGTGCAGAGAATACACTGTCATGTTCAAGAATTCAGTTTAAGCTTTGCGATATAATTATTTTGCTGGGTTGTAGCCATGACAAATACCCACTGTGGTCATAAAGAGATGTTTGTAAACAATGTTAAGGGCCCAATGTGTATGAGAAAATGTTTACACCACCCTTATATATTGTTGAATCCCGGAGATCTTTAAGTGTTAGGAACTTTTGTTATTAGGTTTTAAATGTATACAGTGCATCCGGAAAGTATTCATAGCGCTTCACTTTTTCCATATTTTTTTATGTTACAGCTTTATTTCAAAATGCATTAAATTCATTGATTTCCTCAAAATTCTACACACAATACCCCATAATGACAATGTGAAAAAGTTTTTTTGGAAATTGTTGCAAATTTGTTACAAAATAAAAAAGCTGAAAAATCACACGTACATCAGTATTTACAGCCTTTGCTCAATACTTTGTTGATGCACCTTTGGCAGCAATTACAGCCTCAAGTCTTTTTGAATATGATGCCACAAGCTTTGCACACCTTTCTTTGGAAATTTTTGCCCATTCCTCTTAGCAGTACCTCTCAAGCTCTATCAGGTTTGATAGGAGGCGACAGTGTCCAGCCATTTTCAGATCTCTCCAGACATGTTCAATAGGATTTAGGTCAGGGCTCTGGCTGGGCCACTCAAGGACATTCACAGAGTTGTTGTGAAGCCACTCCATTGATATTTTGGCGGTTTGCTTTGTTCATGTCCTGCTGGAAGATGAAACGTCGCCCCAGTCTGAGGTCAAGAGCACTCTGAAGCAGGTTTTCATTCAGGATGTCTCTGTACATTGCTGCATTCATTTTTCCCCTCTATCCTGACTAGTCTTCCAGTTCTTGCTGCTGAAAAAAAAAACATCTCCACAACATGATGTTGCCACCACCATGCTTTACTGTAGGGATATTATTAGCCTGATGATGAGCGCTGCCTGGTTTTCTTTAAACCCTGGCATTCACTCCAAAGAGTTCAATTTTGGTCTCATCAGACCAGAGAATTTAGTTTCTTATGGTCTGAGAGTCCTTCAGATGCCTTTTGGCAAATTCCAGGCAGGGAGTGGCTTCCGTCTGCCCACTCTGCCATACAGGCCTGATTGGTGCATTGCTGCACAGATGGTTGTTCTTCTGTAAGGTTCTTCTCTCTCCACAAAAGAATGCTAGAGTTTAGACAGAGCAACCACTGGGTTATTGATCATCTCCCTGACTAAGGCCTATCTCCCCTGATCAGTCCTGGTGGTTCCAAACATCTTCCACTTACGGATGATGGAGGCCACTGTGCTCATTGGAACTTTCAGAACAGCAGAAATTTTTCTGTAACCTTCCCCAGCCTTGTGCCTCGAGACAATCCTGTCTCAGAGGTCTACAGAAAATTCCTTTGTCTTTCTGATTGGTTTGTGCTTTGACATGCAGTGTCAACCCTGGGACCTTACATAGACAGCTGTTTGCCTTTTAAAATCATGTCCAATCAACTGCATTTACCACAAGTGAACTCCAATTAAACTGCTGAAACATCTTAAGAATGATCAGTGGAAACAGAATGTATCTGGGCTCAATATAGAGCTTTACTGGAAATGCTAGTGTGCAATTTTTGTCTGAGTCTGAATTGAAGACTCTGTTGTGGTACCGGTGTGTTCTTCTTCTGCTTTTGTAGCTCATCTGCTTCAAGGTTTGGTGTTTGTCTGTTTAGAGCTGCTCTCCATCAAACCTCAGTTGTATTCAGGGGTAATTTGAAAAAAAGAAAAGGTACTAATCTTGTCATTGTCCTTGTTTTGGCAACAGAGCTGCTGCTCAACAGATATTTTCCCTCTATTTTTTCAAACCATCCTCAAGAATTGGTAGAAGATGATTGTTTTTGAAAATCCCAGTAGATCAGCAGTTTTTGAAACACTCTGACCAGCACCAAAAACCATTGCCAGAACAGAAGGGGGAAAAGTAACAATTATATTTTTGTGTTGCCTCAATAAATTGTATCTTATCTAATAGTATCAATTTATATCTGTGTATTGTTACACTCGTACTATATTCCAAGTGTTCTGGAGCCACACAATCGCTTTGTGAAGAACATCATTTAAGTCATTATTCGCTTATATAATTTCCATTCAGGTAACTTTCCCATTCGCTGAGCTGAACTCAATGACCGGATCAGTCCCATTTGTCAACAGAATCATTAAAATGATCTTTTTTTGCTCTTCAGGGCTTGACAGCTCTCATCTGGAATATTTTTTAAAGAGCAGAAAAATTCACCTTTTGTTTCCGCTAGAATAAAGTACTTTAAATAGGTTTCTAAGAATAAGACAGGCAAATTGATGAATTTTATATTTGACTGGACTACTTCATTGAATTAGACTGATCTGAACCGCTTCAGTTTTGACTGAGTTGTCTTTTATGCTTTCAGCTTTTGATTTATCAAGCATTATTTTCCATTGAAAACGAGTATAATTAGATGACTAACAAAGTGGTTGTGTTAACTAAGTTATTCTGCGAACATTTTTGACATCAACTCTGCTTCTTTTTCTTCTTTTATAATCAATGTGGTCTAAGAATACCTCAGGAAAGCTGTTGCAGCACAGACTAATATAGAGATGCATTATATTCAGTGTCGTGCTGAGATTTCAGAGAAAGCTTCTGTGGTTTTGTCACCTTGAGCAAAGTGTCTGGCGTTCCTGTGGTCCTCCTCCAGTCTTCCAATCATATCTGACAGGGCGATCTTACCAGCTGCTGCCAAGATACCCAACTGGCGCATTCCACCGCCAAGCACCTTGCGGACACGCACCGCTCTCTGTATGAAATCTTTTGACCCTCCTAGCATGGAGCCCACAGGTGCCCCGAGTCCCTGCCAAAGTGCAGACACAGCAAATAAGTCTCTGCATTGTTTGAGATTTCCAGCTCTGGGCATAAAATTTAATTGATTGGGTGAAGCAAAAAAAAAAAAAAAAAAAAAAAAAAGCCCAGTACACATATATAATATTAATTACAGCTTATATATACAGATATAATTCAGATATAATTATTTTGTTTATTTTATATTTCAAGAGTTCACACTTAGATTGCTGATACTAATTGTAGGTCTGGCATGTGGGAGAGAACCCTGAGCTTGGAGATAATTGAGCCCAGGACTCAAGTCTCAGGGCCCACGGAAGGAGGGGGCCCTTGATTGCCTGATGAAATTATTTGCGCTATGACGTGGGAAACGTCTCTTTGTGTTATTCTTTCACATGGAGTATTCCTTTCAGCTTGCTGCTGTTCAAAACCAGTGATGCCGCTAAACTATGGCTCGGAGCTGCTTTAGCTCAGTTTTGAATAGCCCTGTTTAGACCCCGGTAAGTGACAAGATGTCCTGTTTTTGCCAGGAAAAAGTCCCTTATTTACCAGCACAGTTTCTATTTCAGCTACCGCAAGAATAGTCCAGTAAAATTCAACAAAACAAAGAGTAAAATCCAAACAGTATCAGTTATTTATGTGCATTTAGAGAAGCCAGGATAGGTAGAATCATGCAGAATGGACTCTGTCTGGGCCATGTGTCTGCGCAATCGTGATCGATGATTGGCTCCTCTTCTAGAAGGCGGGGCTTCATTCACTATATAGCAATCGATGATTGGCTCCTGTACTAGAAGGCAGAGTTTATTCGCCATGTTGGCCGTTACACTTTTCCCCATTCAAAAGGATACGGGTGACATGTCTTGTGTCTTTATCATAACTGAAACAACATCCGACCAAATCAAATAGCCTACACACCGAGTTATCAAAATGTCAATCGCTGTGGAGTATCTATCGCAAGAAAATTCTTGGTTTAAGTCTAACTCAACCCGTTAGAAGGCAACGTTTTAAATTAATGAATTTACACTTTTATAAAAATGACAGCAGCCTAACAATCCAGAGCAATGAAATAATGGCGCAAAAAATCAGGCAAAAAAATAAAAAAAAACATTAGCACAACACCAAATGGGAAATTAGAAGTGTGACTTTTAAAGATATTTTAGGCATTTTCGCTCAACTAAAGTTTAAAGTATTTTTTTTTTACCCTATTTAATATATTTATTAAAAAGCACTCATTTAGGATGCAAATGCAAATTGTTTTTTTAGTGACTTTACCTGCCTGTTTAAAATTTTACGTTAGATTATGTTAAAGTTTATGTTATGTGATTAATTTTTTATGCTTGTACACCTAATTTTAAATAACATTCATTAGCAAATTAATAATCTTTTGAGAGACGATAAATCTCGATGAATCAGGTAGTTTTTGAGAGCACCCCCTGTATAAGAGGAAAAGGGGGAGATGGGGTGGATGGGGGGGTATGTCAAAAGCTAAATTAAGGGAAGTAAGGTGAAATCGGCTGTTTATTGTAGGGTTTTAGTTTTAGCAGTTTTAGTACTTGAACTTGAACTACTTTAGTTTACTGTTATATAATATGTATATGTTGTTTCAGTTAATGAAACCTGTTTTTATTAATTTATCAACAACAATACTGGAGTGAAGTGTTTGCAAAGCAAAAGCTTTAACATTTTAGATATTTCTATGTGCTTGTCACTTAATACATATTTTTATAGAATAGGATAGGTTGATTTCACTTTTTAAGTTGCCCAAAAACTATTTTTATTAATATCTGATTTTAGTTATATCAATGTCTTTAATTATTTAACATTATTAATATTATTACTCCATTATTATTTCACATATAAAACATTTGTATTTTGTTTATAAATGAAAATGTATTCATCTGTAAAAAAAAAAAAAAAAAAAAAAAAAAAATATATATATATATATATATATATATATATATATATATATATATATATATATATATAAACTAGGCAGGTTAGGGTAATTAGGCAAGTTATTGTTCTGTAGACTATTGGAAAAAAAATAGCCTTAAGGGGCTAATAATTTTGTTCTTAAAATGGTGTTTAAAAATGAAAAACTGCTTTTAATTTATTAATTCTTTTATTTATATTTTATTCTGTATAAACATAATTTGGGAAATATTTAAAAAACAGAAAAAAAATCTAAGGGGGGCGAATAATTCTGACTTCAACTGTGTGTGTGTGTTTGTGTGTACATACACACACACACACACACACACACACACACACACACACACACACACACACACACACACATATATATATATATATATATATATATATATATATATATATATATATATATATATATATAAAAACATTTGATAGTAGTAGCTTTTACAATGTTATTTTAGGGCTGTTGATAATTAAGTTACTATGAAATATTGATAGTATGATATAAAGTAATATATGGCTAGTTATATTGGCTTCTATTTCACCTACTCAATGGAAAATAAACACGTTCTATGTGAACACAAGATTCCTTCATTCATACAAGCAAGTATAAATAAAAGTGATTTAAACTACACAAAATAAATGACAGCTTTAAAAGTAATCTCCCTATTATAATCACTCAAGTATAAATGCATCGCGATGGTATAATCTAACAGCTGTTATATTTAACTGGCACCTGGAATGCAGATGTTTGCTTTCTGCTTAGGTAGTCAGGGCAGACAGAAACAATTGACTTTCATATTTCTGATCTTTGTCTCTGAAGCCTCAATTACATTTAATGTCTTTACAGCAGGAGGGAAAATTCAGTACAAGAGAGTAGCCGTTTCCTGATACATGCAAACATGTTCTGTAATTAAAATGCAAATACGCTTGTTGACATCTACTCAAAGGATTTGTTTGAGAGTCGAGAGTGATTAGTTTTACTTCAGGGTCTCTTCAAATCGACTTCGCAGCTCAGATTTTAACATACACGCGATCTGTGAGGAGTAATGAGGAAGGACATTTTAAATCCTCGATGATACCACATGATTATCAGAGGAAAGTACCATCACACTTTGATGAAGAGAATAAAAAATAAGCCTCGGTTGTTGGAGGTGTGAGATGCCTTCAGGGCGCAGGTTATAAAGCACTGGCTTTAACAAGGTCATTTTCAGTGCCTCTCACTTACTGATTTCTCTTGGTTTTTGGTGAAATAACTCCACAGATGGTCTATCACTGCCTGGAGATGTTTTGTTCAAAATTACTGAAATAACTCGACAATATAGCCATAGCCTGAAAACTGCTATTGGTTTCTAACAGTATATACTTTTTTCTATTAGGAAAATAATCTTATAGCTCCGTTTAAATTTGTGGCTGCATTTGCTATGCAGATTCATTTTACAAATGTTCTTCTCCTTCTCACATAAAGATTTTATTGGTCCACCGGCAGCAACAGTAAAACATTCTAGCTACATTGTGCTGAAATATAGACTAGCCATTTCTGTAAATTATTTAAGACAAGTGGATAAAGAAAATTGCAAGAGTTTTTAAGCTTTTGAAAGAAGCCTCTTTTAGCGATGTGTTTTAGCGACAATTTCTCTTTTATTTATGTGTGTATATGCAATTGAAAGTCAGAATTATTAGCCCCCCTTTGATTTTTTTCTTTTTCTAAATATTTCCCAAATAATTTTTACCAGAGCAAGGAAATTTTCACAGTATGTCTGATAATATTTTTTCTTCTGGAGAAGTAAAAATAATAAGATAGTAATAAGATAATAAGATAATAATAATAATAATAATAATAATAATAAGAAGAAGAATTCTGGAGAAGTAAATAATAATTTTATTCAGTAATATAAAAATTCATTCATACATTAATTTTCTTGTCAGCTTAGTCCCTTTATTAATCTGGGGTAGCCACAGCAGAATGAACTGCCAACTTATCCAGCAAGTTTTTACGCAGCGGATGCCCTTCCAGCCACAACCCATCTCTGGGAAACATCCACACATACACACACACACACACACACACTCATACACTACGGACAATTTAGCCTACCCAATTCACCTGTACCGCATGTCTTTGGACTGTGGGGGAAACCGGAGTACCCGGAGGAAACCCACGCGAATGCAGGGAGAACATGCAAACTCCACACAGAAACGCCAGCTGAGCCAAGGATCGAACCAGCGACCTTCTTGCTTTGAGGCGAACGTGCTACACACTGCGCCACTGCGTCGCCTAATATAAAAATAATATTTAATAATATCTTTATCTTTTGATCGTAAAAAACACATTCTAATCCTGTGATGTGACTATTGCGGATATTCACATTGTGATATCGATGCTCAAACGATATACAGTTCAGTCCTAGTATTCATATTTCACTATTATCCCAACAGGAAAAATTGTGAGCAAACCCGTTGCCATCCACATCCTTTTTAATCGCCTGCTCCTCTGCTCACTCATAAGCCGGTGTTCAATTAGTCATGCTCTAGTGTCACACTGAGCGCTCCTGTGATAGTGATGCAGTCAAGGATGATATAACAGAAGTTTCTAAATGATTTCTGACCACAAGTGGTGTTCTTACCAGGTGGATACAAGGCCTCAGTCATATTCTCCTAGAAAAGTGGTCTATTCATTGGTAAATATCTAAAAATAGCAATACTGTAACAGAAAAAATAAAATACAATATAATAAAGTGAACTCTTTAGAGAGCAAGTACAGTTTCATCCCTGAAACCTAAAAATAACACATACAAATACTTTCTTTAATACCCCTAACCTTTTCAGTTAATTTGCCGATTAAAAAAACACATGAACTGGAAGCTAGGACTGTTTTTTCCCCATTTTGTGACACAGTTCCTAGAGAAACGAAATATTACATGAGAAAACAGTGAGCGTGGCATGTTTTTTTCTACTGGGAGCTGATTGGAGGCAGTACAGTAGGCAATTCATTCAGAAAGATTGGGAAAATTGTTTGACTATTCTAACAGACACCTTCTCCTCACCATTTCTGGTTGTTGTCAAACTGACAGTTGGAGGGGTGTGGTTAAGTATATTAGCCTACGCCCAATACCTCAGACAGACGTGATCTGAACTGAATTTAACTGAAAACAAACAGGAAGTGCATTTTCAGATTACAAGGAAATTTTTTTAATGACAGGTACAGATTAATTGTTCATTACAAAACTAGCAATGTGAGCTAACAATATCAATAGGGTTAGTTTTGATTTCATGTGTACTTCAACAACACATTTGCATGTTCACAGATCTCAGATGGAGACTTGACACTAAGGTAAACAAATCAAAATATATTTTCCATTTCATTTTCCAAGAATACAAGAGCTTACCTTAGACAGACACACACTGACAGAATGACAGTGCTGTAGTATAGCAGAGGGCTGAACACCCAGAGCTACAGCTGCGTTCATCACCCTCGCTCCATCCATATGCACCGCCAGACCAAACTGATCAGCCACAGAGCGAAGCTTTCAGCAACAAAAAACAACAGTTATAGATATTAGTTCATGTATGTCCAAAACTTTTTACATCTTATACCACTTTTAAAATTAAATTAACACGAAGGGAGCATGAATATTTTCTGTTTTGGTAAAATAAAAGTTTGTCAGAGGTTTAGACTATAATGTATTTTTTCCTCAATGTATCAGATTAAGCAATTATACAGTGTCATAGACAAGAAACATACCTATGGCAATCTGTTTTAATATTTAATCTATACAACATGTCAGTACCTATTCCATGCTACTGTTATTATTTTATTATACAAGGTGGTCTTAATTATTGTGTACTGTACATGACAGAGCCCCTATTATGTATTTTTGAAAGTGAGCTTCCATGCAGTGTGTAACACAGCTCTAAGTTAATGGAAACATCCAGCTGAGGTTTAAAATCTAAAAAAGCACCTCATTTAAAACTATTGATTCGTTAGTGAAATAATCAACTCAGAGTCGAATAAATGAATCAAATTGGGTTCGGATCTTTTGTTTAATTGCATTGACGTCGATACGGTACATCACCAAATATGTAGTTCCTGTTCCGGTAAAATGTAAACGCGTTTTCACTTTTTTAGACGTTGATATTTGGTTGATTTTAGGTTGATTTTAGGTTGGACGTTGGACATTGACGTTAGGTTCTGATGTCAACCCGATTTTCTTTTCTAAACAAAATGCAACGTCCCACAACGCTGGGGTGCAACGTCAATCTGATGTCATGTTGACGTCTTGTGCCTGCTGGGTGTTTAAAGCCATTTCGGTCATCATACATTAAACATCCATCTTCTTCTTATCAGTGACATGCATTTAAATAGTCTCTGGGTCATTACATGTAAAGATTTCAGACATCTTATTGGACACTTTTAATGCTTCCAAACAGTTTGCTTCAATTATAAATTGCCCATGTCTCGAGGTTGTTCATTATGATGCGATTTACCTTCACTCAAAAAAATGATGTAACGTTAGATGTTGTTACAAATGGGTTAAATCTTCACAGAAGTGTTGTTCAGCTACTAAAATCTTTCGATGAAAGATTGATAAAACTATTTTTAGTTTCATAAGGGACCTTTTACAGCATAGATGATGTAGTTTTTAATTATTTTAACAACAAAACGCAAGTAAAAACTGCTATTCCGCCTAGTCTCTCCCTATATTGTTTACCATGCAACTTTAAATATTTGCTCTAAAATAGAATGTCAGTTTGGCTTGCACGCCGCCGGACAAGCACTAGTCACTTTTAACACATGAGAGAGGGTTCTTTTGGGATGCTCGTGTTTCAGGAGGCGTGGCTCTAGACGGCAGGGGAGGGACTGTGATTCAGAGATTTTTTCTATTCTAGAAGAGTGTTCCTACAGGTGGTTTGTAAAGCCCACTCACCCATGTGAGGCACACTCAGAAATGCATGTTTTTCAATAGATATGGAGTGATTGTAAGAAAATGTCTGGTGCAAGTAGGTTCAAGGTAATTGTTATTATCTACAAAGTATAACAGTGGCTAATAAATAAGTACCTTTAGGTGATGGTTAAGTACTAGTATCTATGTTATAATGTATGCATGAGTAAACAGATTATGTGAAAAATGTACAAATAATTTGTTCTGATCTGCCATGAGATTGTGTTCAGAGCTCTCACAGAGAGAAAATGAAAACGAAACTTAACGGCAGCAAACTATAAAAGCAACACTTCACGCTTGTTTTGCCAACACAACGTGGTGTCTTTGTGGCGTAAACACGGTGACACTAATGAATATTAATGAAGTTCCACAATAGAGCGCGCTGATTGGTTTGAACCAAGCCTTACTCATGCATTAATGTATTACACTGTAAGACGTAATAGGACTCACTCAGGCACAGACGCCCAGTCTGCACGCTGGAATACACGCTATTATGTCATGACCGTGACGCAGCTTCAAAAATTTGTTTCAAACAGGAAGTACAAATTTGCTTGAAATAACGCAAAAACAACCAATTTACACTTTTTAGTGAAATATAGGTGTCCTAATAGTGTTTTTAGCAGTGTGGGACACATATACGACTGTCAACAGCTCAAAAAATGTGTTTTGGTGTTTCGTGACACTTTAAAGCAGGAGTGCAGAAATGCACAAAACCTGTTCATGTTGCAACCCAAACTGAAGTATGTTTAATCGCTCACTTAGTAAATGAACATCACTAGGCAGTTTAAGTGGAGGGATTGTGTCTTATTGTTCAGAGTTTAGCCCAAGGTACCTGACTGCCTCAACATATTCTCTGACTGTCTCCCACATTTAATGAACTAGTGTTTAAGTAATATCTAACCTCCTGCAGGAAGGCGAGTGGGAGGACGCGGCCTCCCTGGATATTGTGTGTGTTTTCAACACACACCAGGCGTGAGCGTGGGTAGTGTGGGTCAGGGTAACCATGGCGGATCTTGGAGATCAGCTGGTCCAGGTCAAAGGTGCCATCGCCGAGGGTACGGAGTGTTGCAGAATGGACGCCTGCGAGCTATAAGCAAACACAAAAGCACATTTACTTCAGCCTACCCATAATGTGGCATATGGGTGTTTCTTCAGCTATGAGCACTTTTGGACTTTTTGAAAACACTGCTTTCAGATCTAACTTGTTCATTTAACCCTGTAAAGCCGACAATATGAAATAAAAGTAAAGAAAATGTTTTTGTAAAATGGAGGTTTCAGACCTTAGATCACTTGAATGTTTCTCTGTCTGAGGAAATAATCATTTGTTTTATTCTGGAAACTGTAAAGTTTCCACCAAATTCGAAAAAAAAAAAAAAAAATAGAATTTTTGTTTTGCACAGGCAGCTAAGCCGACAGCTAGCTCTCTGCAAATCTCACATGGTCGCCCATTGAAGCTAAGCAGGGCTGTGCCCGATCAGTACCTGATATCCACGTGGGAAAGCTAGGTCGCTGTCGGAAGTGGTGTTAGTGAGGCCAGCAGGGGGCGTTCATCCTGAAGTCTGTGTGGGTCCTAATGCCCCAGTATATTAATAAAAACTCTATAATGCTCAGTGAGCATTAAACTGAGCTCAGACTCTCTGGTCATTAAAAATCCCAGGATGGCCTTTGAAAAAAGGTAGTGGTTTAAACCCAGCATCCTGGCCAAATTTGCCCACTGGCCATATCTTAATTGGCTTCATCACTCCGTCTCCTCTCCACCAATCAGCTGATTTGTGGTCTGGCGCAATATGGCTGCTGTAGCGTGATCCAGGTGGATGCTGCACACTGGTGGTGGATGAGGAGATCACCCCCACTGTGTAAAGCGCTTTGAGTTTCCAAAAAAGCACTATTGACCTTATTCTCCGCAGACGAGCGGGCGCTGCCATTTGAATCTTTTTGGCACGAGACTTCCGGTCTCATTCACTTCCATTAATTTTTAGACATTAAAAACTGCTCGTTTCGCTGTTTGATGTTGCAAACTGATATTTGCTTGTTATATTATTCTACTTGGTCTGTATAGTCATGCAAACATTTGTTTGTAGAGCAAGTAGTTTGACCGTTTTTTGCCGTTTATTATTCCTTGTCATTTCTCCCATAGGCGACTGAAACGGAAGTTCTAAGACAATCGCTAAAACAGGCGCACTTCCGCATTTTAGAATAAAGTCAATATAAATGTAAGGAATTATTATTATTATTATTATTATTATTATTAAAATACTGCCCTTTTTTCAGGTGCTTATATTCATTTTTAATCAACAAAATACCAATGTTTTAATGTTCATTAGAATTAAGATATCAATATGTGGTATAACATCTGATTATCTAATCATGACAAAGGAAAATAAATTCCTGTGAGGGGAAAAATGCTCTAAATACATAAAAACCAAGATTTTTAAGTGGTCTGATAATTTTTTTGTTTATATATTCTCAAAATTAAGTACTGGTCATTACATTTTGTAATACTCAGTTAGATTATATTTGCTGTGATATTGATTGCATGATTCTGTATCATGAATTAATATGCATTACAGTTGATATAGAGTGAAATATATGGAGTTCATCATCATTTATTGTGGTGTTTATCAATATTTCAAACAAACATGGAAGGCTTTTTATGTTTATTAATATTTTTTCATCTAATACTGGAATTCCCAAACTTATTTGTTGGCCAAACTCCCATAGCCTAAAAATAATACACATTAAAATATTAACTTTAATACCCCTTTAATACATTAAAAGTTAATCGTGACTTGACACAGGTCAACAAATAAAACATTTCTTTATTTGAAAAGACATTTTTATTTAAAATGTTCTATTTTATACTTCTCAATGCCCAAGTTACAATTTTAGAAAATAGTAATGTTCATTTCATCGATAGAAAAGAATTAAGTGTGTCTTCTTTCTCTTATCTCTTAAGTAATTTTATTTGTATATTTTACAAAATAACCAACCAATAATCTACATTTGGTCAAAAGTAAGACTGAAGTAATCAGTGCTAAAATCAGTTTTACTATCAGAGTAATAAATCATACATAAAATATTTTAACTACATAAATAATATAAATATATTATGAAATTATAATATTTCACAATTACATTGCAAACATTAGAGATCTCTTGAAAAAAAAACATTAAAAATATCTTTCTGACTCTGAGTATTTTGAATGATAGTGTAGATCAGGGGTGTCCAAACTCGGTCCTGGAGGGCCGGTGTTTTGCATAGTTTAGCTCCAACTTCCTTCAACATGCCTCCCTGGAAGTTTCTAGTATACCTAGAAAGAGCTTGATTAGCTGGTTCAGTTGTGTTCAATTGGGGTTGGAACTAAAATATGCAGGACACTGGCCCTCCAGGAGCGAGTTTGGACATCCCTGGTGTAGATGAATCAAAGACCAAATACATGTAATTGAACAAATACAAGATTGTACAACTGTACATATCCACTGTACATACACATTTGTAACTATGTTCATATCTATCTGCATACGTCTGATTACTAATAGCAAACTGTACATATATTAATCTATAGCAGGGATGTCTAACTAAATTTCTGTAGGGCCGCACCCCGGCACAGTTTAGTTCCAACCCTAAGTAAACACACCTGATCAAACTAATTGAGCCCTTCAGGCTTGTTTGAAACCTACAGGTAAAGCTGTGGTCACACTGGGCTTTTCCTCCCATAATTCAATTCAATTCAATACAGCTTTATTTGTATAGCGCTTTTACAATGTAGATTGTGTCAAAGCAGCTTCACATAAATGGTCATAGTAACTGGAACAGTGTGGTTCAGTTTTTAGTGATTAAGTTCAGTTTAGTTCAGTTTAGCTCAGATCAGTGTGATTTAATAATTACTGAGAGTTCAAACACTGAAGAGCAAATTCATCGATGCGTAGCTCTACCAATCCTGAACCATGCGAGCCAGTGGCGACAGCGGAGAGGGAAAAAAAACTTCACCTGATGGGAGTGAAGAAAAAAAACCTTGAGGGAACCAGACTCAGTTCGGCAAAATTTAATTTCTCCGCTGGCCAAAAGTCTTGTGCAGAGCTTCAGTCACCGCGGTGGGCTGGAAGATGGCCTCAGCGAAGACTCGTATGTCCCTGGAGCGTCGCTGGAATCAGTCTCATGTTCTCCACTTCCCATGACCATCAGCGCAGCAGCAGCTCAGGATATGGCCTGATCCCGGATAGACTTCTATTCATCCGCATACGAATGCTTCAGACCGGAAACGCAGGGTCATGCGTCAAGTTTCGCAGGTTTCTGCGGTGAAAATCACATCACTTGACTGCGTGAGACCAATCGAGGATTAAAACATGACCTCTCTGGACAGAAATTTAAAACATGGAGCAATCGCTCGCTTTTTAAAATGTCTAATAAGCTTGTTTAATCCCGCCCCTTTTCGCAGCGCCGTAAGACAGAATATCGCATGCTCAAACTCTGGTGTGACCGCAGCTTAAGTGTGTTGGAGCAATTGTGTAGGGCTGCAGCCCTCCAGGAATTGAGTTTGACACCCCTGATCTATAGTAAATCTCTGTTTATAGTTATACAACCTGTATATAGTGTTTATAGTACATCCATTTGTAAATATAACCCATAGATTTTCTATAACTGCACTTTATAACTTACCTATATACCTGCACTTGCTGCTAATGCACTCCTGGTTAGACTTAAACTGCATTTTGTTGCCTTGTACTTATGTGTAATGACAATCAAGTTGAATCTAATCTAATCTAAGGATGTCCACCACAGCTCTAGTTATTCTTCCTTTTTTAATTGAACTCTCTGATGGAAATGGCATTTTAATATTTTAAAACAAAATGTTCTGCATAAATCATGCTGTGCATTAATTTCAAATGAATTCATCTTTGATTATTTTGATAATAAATACAGTAACAGACAAACATATTAGCCTAAATTAAAAATAAACCCCTTAGTCGACAGATTTGTCCATACCTGTGCACTTCCTCCCTGCTCATAAATATGAATATGAGAAAGATCACCAGCTATCATCTCATCACCCCTCTCCCTGCAGTGGACCATAACTGAGACAGAAAAAAGAGGAGGACAAATATGAGTGCAACATATGTGCTGGCATGAACGCTTCTGCTATACATTACTGCAACTTCTGGTCACAAACAAGAACCAAATTCCATGAACGGCGAGCTATTTCTGTGAGCTTGAGCACAAATCAACATCATTTTTCAAATATCAGATTTTAATGGCCAGAGGCGGCTCTCGGGCTGTGACACAGACCACATTCACTGCAAAATAGCATTATATGTGTCCATTTTCCCTCCAAGCTTTTACCAAGTGACAACTGTAAACAAGTTTTATTAATAGCCTTGGGCAGAATCCTGCAGTCTCACCTGCAATCAGGTTACTCATCGTTCCTGAGGGCACATATAAAGCCGCTTTCATGCCAAACATTTCAGCAGCTATTTTCTGTAGTTCTGTTGGAGGAAAACATATGTATACAATGTATTTTTAGCAGCGTATAAAAGTAGGCAGGTCTACATTTCCTATTGCAACAACATGTAACAAACATTTTGCATTGGATATATTAACACTAACTAAAGTTTGGACACATTCTTTAAAACAATATTTATATTGAGTGAAAATAAAAAATGTGGAAAATGAAATCTAAACTTTTTATCAGTGCTGAGTTACTAAATGTATATATATATATATATATATATATATATATATATTATAATTTTTTAACAGTATTTATTTGAAAAACAGAAAGTGTTTGAATTTCCTTAATGCCTCTTTTGGCCAATTTAAAACATGTTTGTTACAAATGTTTTAATTACTGACTAGGTTTTGTACTATTTTTATATTGTGTTTGTTCATTGTGTCGTGTGTTGATGATGTATATTTCTTTGTAACTTTGTCCTCTGCTGCAAACTTTACCAGGACTGTTAGAAGGATTATTGTATTTCTTCTTCTTTTAATTTTGTTGGCGGTTGACAAACAATGAAATTGTCCATTTTCGTGACCAACTGGTATGGAGTGTGGATCATTACGACTTGATGGTCCATTTCGCTGTGGCAACCCCAGATTAATAAAAGGACTAGGCCGAAAAGAAAATGAATGAATTTTGTAAAATGTCATTGAATTTGAATTGAACTATTATCTCTTCTCAATTCTTACTAAGAGTCCCCCTTTCATCTTCATAATTCATGCAGTGTGATAAAACATTCGTGCAGTGTACCATAACATGTTCAACTGTCTCTTCTTTGTTCACAAAACTCACATTTTACTGTACCAAAAGTGTACTATTTAAATTAAATAGTGTTCTATTTAATTTTGTGAGTCCAAATCTCACTCTAGATATTATCTCCTCTCTTCTGTTTTTCCAACACTTCTCATTTCTCCTACTTTCTTTTGAATTCTGTAAAACCACCAGCCCCTTTTCTCATTATCCCTTTGTTGTTGCCACCTTTCCTTCATTCTTTTTTAAATAATACTCTTGATTTCCGAGTATTCACTCAGAGCAGTCACTCACTGTTTTCAAGAAATGACTAAAAACTCAACTATTTAGTCTCCACTTCACTTCATAATCTGCAATTGCCTCTCTGGATAAACCACTAACTTTACTCAAAAAAAAAAAAAAACTAATTCTTTCCTTCTTAGACTTTACAATCCTAAAACTTGCCTATAGCACTTATTCATTGTTGCTCTTATAGTTGTGTAAATTGCTTCCTTGTCCTCATTTGTAAGTCGCTTTGGATAAAAGCATCTGCTAAAATTGTAAATTTCACTCAATACTTACATTTGGACTAATGTTATTATTTTTAACAGCTTGTTTTGCTTTATTATCTGCAATTTCCTTTCCTTGAACACCAATATGCGCAGGTACCCATAAAATACTACTGTTATACCCATCATTTGAATTGTATATAATGTTAAATTTTATTGACTCACTTTCATTTCTGCTTTTTTTACAGTCCTTCCAAAACTTTTACTTTCCCTCCTCTCTTTTTTCTAACATGGCTTTAATGTTTCTAGAGTTGGATGTTCTTGATTATGAGCTTTCAAATTTACCCAATACCTCACAGATAACTGAACTCTTCTCATTTCTTAAGAAATTTCCCCCATTTTAACTTGTAGTACTGCAATTGGTTTAATATTGTATCTCAATGGGACTTCCTGGTTAAGTAGTAAGTGGGTCAATGAATGAATGAATGAATCAATCAATCAATGAACAACTGTATTATCAGTTCCTCAAAAGTGGTTAACAGTTGTAATGCTAGTTTTTAAGCATGTCTGATAAAAAATGTGAACTAACGCCCTCTGATGGCCATAAGGGGAACAACAACAACGGGTAAGAAAACTGTCCATGAAAAGCAATGATTTCCTCCACATCACATCTGATCATTTACCAGTCGAATCATATTTAACTCGACTCGAGCCTCTTATGTGATAAAAAACAAGAGTCTATCCTACGGATGTCCATAAAAGAGACGTGCGTGTGTGTGTGTTGCTTTCGAACCATTAACTGTAGGGTCTTCTCCAAACACATCGTCTCCGACCTCCGCTTCCGCCATGGCTCTCCGCATCGCTGCTCCGGGTTTAGTGACGGTGTCGCTCCGGAGGTCTACCGTGCGAATGGCGGATCCCGTTACCGTCTGCGGAGACCCATAATACAACCGCACCGGATTTACCCGAAAAACACGAGGTTTGTATAAACAATGACGGACTAAACGAACTATAACCGTTAGTGTTTTGGAGCTCATGTCTTTCTTTATGCACTGTCATATAAACGTATGCTAACTATAAAGTGCATCAATTCACAGGACTTCACTGAACTTTGGTAAACTGTTTTCGATAATCATTGATGTAAACGACCCGGAGCTTTCAGACATGAATAATCAAACTCTCTGGACATCGATCAGTTTACAGTAACACAGTCCAGATAGTTCATCTCCAGAGACACACCATGCAGTCTAAAGTTTGAGTAGGGGAGAGTTGCAACGACTTATTCCTCCATTCAGTGATGCTAGTGATGATATTCATATACTACATATACTCGGTTAGATCCTCCTTTAATCTGAGTAAGATCAGCCATATGTGATCATTACTTCAGTATAAAACCAATTTTTTTGGAATAAAAGTAATTTTTTTAATTTTCAGAAAATTTCTCATGCGGTCTAATCTGTTTTTGTGAAACATTATTCATTCATATGATTTAAATCATGGTTTTCTTAGTTTTAAATAGGTATAGCCGTCAAACGTTAAAGCAATTGTATCTCCCTATAGACAGTTTAATACAAAATTAATTGCTAAAAAGTTTGCCATATTAATGGATTAATGTACAATTTAATTTAATTACAGTTTCATTAATTTTCTTTTCGGCTTTGTCCCTTTATTAATCTGGGGTCGCCACTGCAGAATGAACCGCCAAATTATCTTGCACATATTTTTACGCAGTGGATGCCCTTCCGGCTGCAAACTAGTACTGGGAAACAAAGACACACTCATTCACACACACAGACACACACACACACACACACACACACTACAGTCAATTTTAGCCTACCCAATTCACCTGTATCACATGTCTTTGGACTTGTGGGGAAAACTGGAGCACCCAATGGACCCCATCAAACACGGGGAGAACATGCAAACTCCACACAGAAATACCAACTGACCCAGCCGAGGCTCGAACCAGTGACCTTCTTGCTGTAAAGCGAACATGCTACTCACTGCGCCACTGCGTAGCCCATCACAGTTTCAATGTAATTTAATATAAAATTTTAAAAATGATTTCTTTGATTAATCAATTCATTTTAAAGTTTTAGTCTAGATTTTCAGTAAAAACTATTTTTGTTCTATCTAGTTTTTTAGGCCTGATAATTGGTTATTGCTTGTTGTTTTAATAGTCTGTATTTATATGGCCAATTTAATCAATTTACATTTAGTCTGTTTATAAAATAAAATTCAACCTGATGTTTTATTATTATTATTATTATTATTATTATTATTATTATTACATTACATTAATGGATGTTGCAGCTGTCCCTGTGGGTTTAAATTCTGCATACATTATCATATATGTACACATATTATAGCAATGTGGGTGGGTGTCTGATAGATGTGGGATTATCATATTAAAATTGTGGGTTTTTCACACGCACAAAAAAAAACTGTCTGAGAAACTGAAGAAAATGCAAAAAGTGCTGCAACTGTCCCCACTTTCCCCATATATTGAAACTGCTGTAAACTGTAGTGAGCCCATAGTGAGTGATAGGTGATAAACGCAGCAAATATGATGAGAATTCAATATGTTGACAATCAACTTTGAGCAATCACCCAAATCTGGTATATTCTCCTATTTTATACTTTATCTGAAAAATATTCTGCTAATCTGTCCTCGTTTCAATATACAGTTGCAATCAGAATTATTAAACCCCCATTTTCTATCTATTTAAAATATTTTCCAAATATCATATATCTTTAACAGAGCAAGGAATCTTTCACAGTATGTCTGATAATATTTTTTCTTCTGGATTTCTTCTTCTATTACTTAAATATGCTGTTTTCTATCCTACCTTTTTATATACATTTTTTAAAAATGTGTGTGTATATATATATATATATATATATATGTGTATATATATATATATATGTGTGTGTGTATGTATATATATATATATATATATATGTGTGTGTGTATGTATATATATATATATATATATATATATATATATATATATATATATATATATATATATATATATATATATATGTGTGTGTGTGTGTATGTATGTATATATATATATATATATATTTGTGTGTAGATAGTTAGATAGATAGATCGATCTTATAACACTAACATTTTTCCTTTCCCCTTTTTTAAATATAAAACTTATTTCCCCCTCAGTGTTTATAGCCTATAAATTGAATAGCCTACTGTATTAGACTATCTAAATATTATCCGTACTTTTTGTTTGTTGTTTATTTTTTTGTATGATTTGTACTGGTGTGTGAAGCTTTTACAATGTTCTTTTGTTAATGTTGCTGTTATCGCATATTAAAAATAAATCAACATTCAAAGAAATGCTATAGTCATATTTATTGTGTATGACACAATATAGACAAGTCAATTATTATTTTTATATTTTTAATGATGGGATGAATTGAATCAAATTCAGAATAAAATCATTAAATAATTACTTAATGATTATATTATTGTGTAGACACTTGCTTGCACTGTCTTTGACTGCACATAGGCAGAAATAGACTATTTTCAGACTATTGTGTTTTTGTCATTAATTATTAGATTCCCTCTTGCATATTCAACATTATACTGCTGCTGACATTCTGTAATTGTTTACTCTCACTCTGAACACACATTGTGTATACAGGCATACTCAATTTCTCTCTTGAACATATTACTTGCATATTTCGTTTTTACGCAATCTTCATTTTAACTTTTAAATAGACTATAATAATGCCTGCATTTGTGCTTATTATTACTCATTCATTTTGAATGTTGAGTGGATTTAAAAATGACTCTTGCTAAAAAAACAAAACATTACTTACATTGACTTAATATAATACATTTTTTAACCAAGCCCAAACAAGAACATTTTTACAATAATAGTTTTACTTTTGCATCATTTAATTATTTGGATTTTACAGTATCTAAACCCTAAACCCACTCCAAAGATTGCCCATGGGGTTTTTGTCAGCACATCCATCTGTGGCTGGCAAGAACCGGGCCTGTTTGTAACTGTAGGTGGCTTTGGATAAAAGCATCTGGTAAATGATTAAATGAACGTGAAGGTTTCTATTAGTTATGCTCATTTTGTCCACGCGTGGGCGCTCTCGTTTAACATTTGAACTTAGCCGCTGTTAGCCGTCGACCGATCTGTACAGTCAAAGTTTAAGTGCAATCAGGCCCGTTGCCAGCCTGGTGAAAGGGTTGGCTATTTTTTTTCTCAAAATGTGGCCTTTTTTTTTTTTTGCAGTTATTCACCTCATTTTCTATATATTATAATATTTAATTACTCTAATTAGTGGAATTTTAAGCATTATTTTAGCTGCATTCGCTTGTATCCTCTATTTTAGATGTACCAAAAATATTTTATAAAGATTTATAATAAACAAATATAAAAAAGAGCTTCACGATTATCTTCTAGCCTCTCTTAAAAAATTCATTTAACAACAACAACCGCATAATTGGTATAAACAGCAAAAGTCAGTCTAAGGCAATCGAAAAATGTGGAAAAAATAATAAAACGCCTTTACTGACATTTTTTAAAATACTTGACTTCTTTAGGGTAATCTGATGTAGCTGCAGTTTTAAGGAACAGCTATGTCAATAAAGGCTTTTAAAATTATTTTTCCAACATTTTTGAGTGCCTTGAACTGATTTTAATGTTTATTCTAATGAATTCCTTACTCAAAGAGCACCGACACATTATTTAAGATACCCCTGAGAACTTTTTATTTTATTTTGGATTTTTATACACAGCCTAATTAGTATTAAAATTAACTTTGGCCCGCTTTTGGTGTTTTGGACCTGGTCAATTTTTTTTCTCTCAAAAATAAGGTTCAAGATGTAGAATAAAAGTTAGACTACTTGTAATTTTTATTATTGTTTTTTTAACAACAGTTGGTCAATATTGAAATTGTGCATTTTCTTAAATCCTTTGATGGTTATTTCCACAATTTATGATGACATCACAGTCAAAATAGGTCAAATGAGAATATAGTGACAAAAATTCTGGACCAATGGCAAATTCTGGACCTTTGTCAGTGTGTGTGTAGTTCTTTCGAACCACCCAAACCCCCCTGTTTACGGGCCTGGCAATACATATTAACGTTATAATATATATATTTTCACTTCTAAATTTCCTAGTTTAATAAAATGATAGTGGAGCAGACTGGTCATACCATGTGACCAAAACATAGTCACGTTGTTAACTCACAAAAAATGGCTTGTATTAATAAACAAAACCACAAATGAAGTGGCATTTATGAGAACAAGCTCTTCTTTTAGTCGTCACATTTTGTGAAACATGTTTATTAGCAAACTGAGCCTACAGTCACCTCAGAAATATCTGCTTGTGTAATTCACACCCCGAATTATACTGACATTAAAACATCAAAGTGCTCTATTGCTACATTACAAACACTTCTTTAGTCTTCAGATTTAGAGGAACATGTTAAATATATGATGGCCTGAACTTGAGACCTTTGAGGAAATTAAGTAAGTTCTGAGAAAAGCTCTTGCGTCATTTGTTTGCAGATGCCTTATTGTGATATTTTATATCCTGATGCAATGAAATAATGGGACATCAGCTTCATTGGTAACACAATGTTTGTGCAGTAGTTTGTTCTCGTTTCAGCAGAAACATCTTGGGTACTTACTTTTATATTATTTTCACATTGTTTTGACCTGACTTTCTTTTAATCGCTCCTCAAGTTCAGAATCATAGCATTGATGTTCGTCTGACATGTACATGGCTTTATTTATTCATTTTTGTTCGGCTTAGTCCCTTTATTCATCAGGGGTCGCCACAGCGGAATGAACCGCCAACTTATCCAGCATATGGTTTACGCAGTGAATGCCCTTCCAGCTGCAACCTACGCGAACACAAGGAGAACATGCAAACTTCACACAGAAATGCCAACTGACCCAGCTGGGACTCAAACTAGGGACCTCTTGCTGTGAGGTGACAGTGTTAACCACTGAGCCACCGTGTCGCCCCTTATGTGGCCTTTATATATATTTTAAATATTGAAAACTATATGGTTTTGCCCAGTGTAATATTTATACTTTACACAAAATCAAAAAGAAAAAAACTGATTTAGGCAAATTATTTTCTACGATTATGTGAATACTTTAAAATCGTGTAATCAATTAAAAAGCAACTATTTAATGTTACACTTAATTTTTTAGGTAAAAAGTTTGGAAACTTAAAAAGTAAATAGTTGCTAGTCC